AACCTAAATAAAAATGCGTTTTATGACTGTTAAGAATCTAGAATTTTATCACTTTAAGACAGAAAAATGATTTATCTTTTCAGTAAACATATGTAGATTACGTAATATATGCGTAGATTCTAATGATATTCATTTTAAGTGGTGAAGTCGGATATGAAGGGAGGCATGCTTAGTTAAGGTTCGGAAGCAGTACTGTCATCTTTGGTTATGCATGCATTGGAACCAATTCGTGTGGTTACAAAACCGTCAATTTAACGGATATCTTAGTTTTCTCGTTAATTTTTTGATGAGCATTTACAGACTATAGATTAAGCTTATTTACATCGGTAATTTATGGACTTTTTCACGAATGTGATTCTAAACCGAATTTCCTTCTGTTTTGTTTACTGGCAATTGTCCATGGAATTGGCCTTTTTGGTGTATGGACCACCTCAAACATGTCCATCCACTTCGTCCATGGTCGCTTTGGAGGATTCTTTCAACCTGTTGGGTTATTTTGTCGTTCGTCTCTTGCTAACTATGCTCGTCATATGATCGACTCATCTGTGCCTTGCTATATATGTTCTTATATCCTAGTGTCCTCCTTAAGTAATTCCAATTTCTTTACTAAAACTTGGTTGCCGTTGCAATCTTAAATAGTGCATATACGTTTCAGGGAACTCTATGCAGGGCATCCACAAGTCGATCGGTTATGCGCTTGCCACCAAAACGTTAGTATTGTCCATTTTTGTAGAAAATCTAGTTTTTATACTTGACTCGGTATTTCTGAAACCAGACACTTTGTATTTCCTTGAAAACTGCTTTGTCACTTTTTTTAGTCAAACCGTATCACCCATCTTGGTCAGCTTCTGGACACGATATCTGTTCGTGAAATTGACGCCTTCACATGGGATCGGTATGTTGCCAACATTAATAACATTATATATCTTAATGAAGGGTTTTAATAGTGAAAACCTTAAACAAATAAGGAGTTTGTGGTTGTAATATCGGAGAGATAGACACTTACCTGGATACTTGGACGGCACGTCCTCACTGGTTGTGTGGTCCTCAGCATATCCTCCATTCTTCAGGGTTTTGCTAGTTTGGCCATTGTGTTTTCCTGCAGTCCCGGGGTCAGCCTGATCAAGTCTGCCCCAGGGCGTCACCACCATAGGCAGTCGCAGCCCTTGCGGCTCAGAGGAACATTGGCCACCATGCGACTAATTTGATAATAGGACAGTGGTGGATCCTGGTATTGGTTTACTCTTAGCTGGACTTCCTTATGGAAACGACGGACCCCTAGCTTGGGAGACCCTAATGGAGAGCTTGAATTTCCACACAATACATCGCAGCCCGATACCCAGGAACACCTCCTAGTCACGTTGAGGCGGTAAACCGTTGCGAGGATCGAATGGATGATTTTACACGGTGACTAATCCGCGCAGCGAGAAACGGTTAGGACCTTGTGATGCGATCATATCAGAATTTGACTTTTCTTTTGCATTTCGCGTACCGTTTTATCTCATGTCTTCTATTTTGTCGTTCTGTAAGCTGATATAACTGTTCATATATTCTTCATCTATCACCCTCACATTGATCTTAACATATAGCTTATTCAGCATGGAATGTTTTGTTTTGAACAATCACCTTTTGTGAAAAATTTTATTTTATCGTCTGATGTAGGATAAATACTTTGCACTTGACACACTTTTACGTTTTCGCAGGCTATGAAGCCTACATAAAACTTAAGATTACTAAGTACGTCGCGAAGTTCGAAGAAATCACATTCATGATCGATCTGCTGAATAACGGAGATCAATCACACTTTCGGAGTCAAACTCATTCAGCTCTGAACTTGTGAAACATGAGACCGCGACTTTCCATGCAACAGATTTGTTTGTCTTCATTGATCAGTGACGGCCTCAGAAGTTGCAGTGTTATGCATTTTGTCGATTTCCCGACAACACACTTCTACTGTTATCTTGCCGCCAAGTTGTAGTGGGCGATTCTATCTCACCAGACACGAAAAGTCATAACACGGCAAGTGCAACCCTGTTTGGTCATTGGCGTCTTAGTAAGAAGTTTGTCGGCTGTCTCACAGAATGCACATATCGTAGAGTCATTAAGAGTTGGATTGTCTTTGTTACACTAAAGAACCGTGGAAAAAACTTCATAGTGATGACCTGCCTACTCCTTCTCTTGTTTTTACATCTGCAATCTGTTAAGTTCTTGGAATTTTGGTTGAAGTGGTCCGGAACTGTTGCTTTACCTACTGCCGGCGTTATTTTGCATGCCCTAGATCCGTTTTATGTGGAGATCTTCTATCAAACTTTAGACTTCGAGGCCTAAACTCCGTATGGGGGACGCATCTATTTGATCCACAATTTTTGGCATGCTCGCCACGGGTTTATATCAACTCTCGTTGGCCCAAGTGGTCCTCAGCAAATGGCTCCAAACTTTCTATTGTGTATTTCACTCTATGATTCTGTTTTTCTATGTTTTCCCAAATAGTTGCGATGGTTTTTGTTCTATACATACCATTTAAACTTCTTACACACTCCCCATGCTTTATGCATTGAGAACTCTCGTAGGTGGCAGAAAAAAAGCTCATTTATGTAGAACCATGTTGTCAGGATTTAGAACTCAATTTCGCAACATATATGGAGTGCTCACTTGGATACTTGGATGGCCCGTCTTCACTAGTTCTGCGTACCCCAGCATATTTTCCATTTCTTTGCAGTTTTGCTGGTTTAGCCATTGCAGTTTCCGGAGTCCTGAGGTCCCCTAGTCAAAGTCTTCTCCAGGTTGTGACCACCACAGGCATTCGCCATCCTCGTGGATCAGAAGAAAATTTGCTACCATGCGACTAGTTTGATAGGAGGACTGTGGTGGATCCTTGTATTGGTTTACTCTCAGCTGTGCTTCCTGATGGGAACGCTAGACTCATTCTCAGCTTGGGAGACCATGCCCGGAGGATGAATCCCCCGCTGTACATTGTAGCCCGTCACCCAGGAACACCTTTCAGCCACGATAGGGCGGTAAACCTTTGGTACGGTAGAGTATAGTGTAAAATACGATCACAATAATGCTTAGATGCGAGCAAAACTCGGAATATCAGATGCTTCCCAGATCATTACCGTTTACGATTGCTGATAGCACCGATAGAGCTAAAACATCGTTGAGAGAAATCCAAAACAAGGGCCTCAATTGGTGTGGTGGACAGCACGTGAGCGCCCGGAAAGGGTAATCACGGGTTCGAAGCCCGTCTGAGGATCGGAATTTCGTTCATATATTAGCATCATTGTGGTTACGTATCGCTGTTTTTATGTGCATTCATTTCGCAAGATAGTCATGATCCGTCATACAGCTAAGAGTGGAAATAACAATCATTCAATGGCAAAAGTTCGTTTTTAGTTGCTTGACATATACTAGGCGATACTCGTTTTTCGATAACTCCTTATGGTTTTTAGATGGCAAAGTGTTGGAGATGTTGAGATCTTGAAAAGGTTATAGGATAGACTGCTATATCGCTCTAACCATGTCCATAACAATATAACTTCTTATCTACTGCCTATTATTTTTCCATTGCACGGTGTTATGTGGAATACAACCACATTGACGCAGAGATGTGTGCAAAACCCTCGCCCCAGTCCAGATTCGAACCCCTGATTACCCTTCCCGGTGGCGCGCGTGTTACCCACTGCGCCAGTGAGGCCTTGGATTTGCATTTCTGGCAGTTTTTCACCGTAACGGTGCCATTAATTAATATGTGCATAACAACGACAATGATGCTGAGATATTTGCAAAACTGGACTTCAGGCCAGATTCTCCTGTTTGGTTTTAACTCAAATCTTGAGGAAATTGAACTTCGAAATTTAAATGTCATTAAAGTTTGTTGCGGCGTTGAGCTGCCAACTTTATATGAATACCAAGTCGTTGTGAATATTAGTCCTTGTAGCTGCCACGCGGGTCTTTTGTGTGTAAGTCGCTGAGTCGAACGCTGGGTTACAACTTTAATGATAATAGTAGCAATAACAACAATAACAGTAGAGCGAAGTATGTGGACGAGGTAGGCGATATGAACGAACTGGATGGACACTGGACGAACACTGGGAACACTTGAAGACGAATGGCCATGGGCTGTCTGTATTACTTCTGTAGTGGCTGGAGCTTTTCCAGAGGGAACCAAAGACAGCGCCTGGAGAGAGACTCTAAAGGTTTTTCTACTAGCACAATCTGATAGAGCTACATGTGAAAGGGCACAGCTGCTCGTTCGGAAACTTCTTTGGGACGGCAGATGCTGGAAAGTACATTCAGCTGACTGTTGCTGATTCAGTGCCCGAACTGTCGGACAAAGAAGAGCAGTTTATTAAAAGAAGTTATAGAATCCCTTCCCAGCCGCATGCGAGGCAACTGCATGAGATAATGGCTAAAAGGCAATTTAGAGAAGATGCGAAGATCGATTTAATATAGTTACAGGTGAACAAGAAACACACTAATATAGAAAATAGAAACAATTTGATGAATAGTTCCTATAAAATCATTGGCAAACATTTTACAGTGTGGAACGTAATGCTCTTCTAAACGACGAAATCTCGTGTTCAGTCCATTTACGTCTTTTGGACTCGATAAAATAAGAATTTCATTTTGGCAGACCAAGAAAAGTTGTCTTGTCGGCAAAGGTCTTTAGATTTTACCGACTTTTATCTCAACAAATGAAGTTCACTGCAAGCTGAAGTATGGTTTATTCAAAGTCTTAGAGCTGAATTATTTCCGAGCACATAGGAAGTGAATGAGGAATGATGGGATGTTAATTTATAGAGGCGAATCATTGCTCTGATTACAAAGGGAAATAAATGGGCAGGACATGACTTGGACTAAGGAACCAGATTTTGGAAGTGACTTATTAAGGTTTTCCGTTTGAAGAACTAACGGATTTCCAGTCGGATCCATGAGTGGCATGCTCTCTGTAGACGCATTTTTCAAGAACATGCCAACATAGATTGTCAAGCAGTTTGCATATGTGGCATGAACGTAAATGTTAGTGAGGTGGTGAAGTAGCTGAAACGATACTGATGGAACTCATGGGCGACATGTTCGATCAGTAAATACATTCATACGCAGATAATTGATATAAGTGCTTGAGAAGAGAATCCATCTGATAGGCACATGTGTGAGAAATACAAAACGCCCCCAAAGCAGATACTAGGTGCTGACGAGGGCAATGAAAAACCCAGTAGAACCGGAGAGATGAATGCATGGAACGTCTACTGCGAGAGTGTCTGGAAAATCTCAGCGGATTAGTTCAAGATACACCTGCACATTTAGTTTGCTGTGCGTTGGAAAAAAAAACCAGAAAGAGGGACTTTGTGTTGGATGCTACCAAATGTTAGCAAAAGAATTCAGGATTCAGAATTTGCTGGTATACGTTGAAAAATGTAAACATTGGATACAGCAAATTCAGCGATTATTTCTGCCTAGAATGCGCGAGTAATAACCACAGAAATGTTAACTGTAGAGATTTGCTGTTACAAGAATGTAAGTGGTAAGTAGAAAAAATGACAACGTTTCTAATGAACGTTCTTTCTATCGTCAACATTCCGCACTCAACGGCATGGTCTCGTGAAAAAAAAATTGTAAGTTGTTAAACACACGCAGTAGGTTTTCGGATCCAGTGTCCTACACTATACTATGTTTTTAAACCCTTATAGTAAACGGAACGTAAACGGCAGTAGAGCGAATGAATCGGCGTCAACTCACGCAGGTTCAATTGCATTTCATGTTTGAGTGGAAATCCGCTCCCATCGGTTGTCGTCGAAATGCTAGCATTTTCAAATGGTGGTCGTCGTGACAGGGATTCGTTATTGACCTTCCTCGGCTTTAAAGATTTTATCTCTTCCACAAAACTTTTCAAAACAACGATCCACCGTTTTATCACTAGTGATTCCTATGCCAAATTCAACCTTAAGATTACGAACCGTTTCAAAGCCTTTAAATTCGTGGCTGAATTCACATAAGGAATCTGATTCGCTTCTTTTTTCACTTTTATCGTAATGGCCTAAATTGGAAAGAAGTTGTAAAAAGTCGGGAAATTCTATATCGAGAAATTGGACATTTCATGCTGAATAGCAGATACTTTGTGGCGGTCTCTTTATTTGTAAGCAAATTCTTAGTAGTTCATCTCGCGTTTTTCACTTGTAGTTATAAACAGCTGGTTGTTTTTTACTTGTAGTTATGAACAACTGGTGGAGATGAAGACATCTCACTATACATTCTTTCAACCTGTCGAAATGGCGATGCTTGTTAGCGACCGTATGGATCATCATCGAGTTTTACGACATCTTTTGTACAAAATTGGCTTCCTATTCCAGTCTCAGGTAACAGTTTATCAACATTGTAGGTCAGCACTATTTTTTATAAAGAATAAAAGTGGTCCAATACATCCATATCAGTTTATATACGATGATATCGCAAATTGGTTTTGGAAAACTTTGCATTCCAGGATGACCACCTTGACGTATTCGGTAATCCACATCTCACTGGAAAGACAGGAACTGATATACAGGATGGCAAATGCACGTGGATCAGTGTTCGTGCAGTTCAAAAGTTGCTTGACAAACCGGAACTGGACGTATTTAAGGTGTAACACAGACAAATAAGAGGCTAAATTAAGCCTCCCATGATTTAGTTACCATTTTTCTTCTTAAAGTGGGAAGCCATTAATCAAAGCAAAAAAGTGTTAATATGTGAATACTTGGATACATAGACGACCCGTTTTCACGAGCTGTACGAACTCCAGCACATTCTTCATTCGTTTCTTTGCTTAGTAATCTTCGTTCCATGGTGGTGACATGATTTCAGCATGGCGGTTGTGAGCCTCATACTGTTATCTGTAATACATCGGTAGCTGCCTGATTGATCTTACTTACAAACATCTCCGTTCAACGTGTAGGGCGTCGTTTTAGGGGACGCTTCCATCCTCGTTGAGTCTTCTCTACTGCTGTTTTCGTCCATCTGTCATCTATTCTTCTCATTATAAGACCGACCGATCGATACTTCGCTATCGACGTGTAGTCTTCTAGGACTCGAAGATGAGGTAAATTTCGAAGATCAGAGCTTCGCATTCCATCTACGTGTTGAATGTGCCGGTTATATTTCAAAAGACATTATTCAAGCACTCTGTGAATACTGCGCAATATTCGTGACGCTCTTTAGGTACCAATCAACGTCACTGCTGCATAATAGAGTTCTAGAAGGGCCGCTGGATCGTAAAAGGTGAGCACAGATTTTTGGGCCCTTCAGTTGGTAGGTGGCCTTTTTAGAGGGTGGAATCTGACCCATGCCGCTCTCCTCGTTTTATATAATTTCTTCTTCATATTGCGCTCTATGTTCACTGAACGCCTAAAGTACACGTGAGAGAAGATGGTCTCTGTAATTAGAGAACTATATAATGTAATTTGTTCGCCTTCGCACCATAGTTTCTTCACGAACTGGGTCCTCTTCCGATTTATGCGTAGTGTGATCCTTTTTCCCGCTTCGTTGAGCTCAATGATCATCGTCTCTGCATTGTTGGTACTTCTTGAGAAGATGATAAATGTCAGCAGAGCAAAGACTTATCAGGAATTTTCCATAAATATGTATGCCGTTCTCGTCCCAATCGAGTGATTTCATTATCCACTGCATTGCGGCAGTAAAGAGTTTTGGCAGTACGGTGTGGCCTTGTCGGACCAATTTCCGGATGGTTATGGTAGGAGGTGGACGCGAAAGCTGTATTTTCGTGGTGCAGTTCAAATAACAGTCAGGTAGAGCTCTTATGCAGGGCGGATCCACTTCCTGGTTCGCAATCGCTGATAGGATTGCATTCGTTTCGATGCTGTCAAACCCTTTTGTTTGCTAGGAACACCTCCTGCTCTTGATCTTGACTTTTATGGACTGAAAAGTAGTAATAGCAATTATCTTATCACCATTGCAATTGTCTAAACCTAAGAAAGGTTATGATGGAGGTGTAGAACAATCGCTATGATCTTTTATCAATGGTGTTTTATTAAGGCAAATTATGGAAGAGGAAATCCTGAAAACGTAGATAATATCAGAAATCTTCTATACCGGCTGGACATTCAAGAGGACTTCATGAACTTCGAGAAAAAATATTCTGATAAGGTGAGTAATTAGGTCATGTGAAGATGATTTGGCATTGTTATTCACATTTTTGTGTTCAGTTAAAGAACGACATCAACCAGGTACCGCTTGAGCTGTCACCATTGAAACCAGTCTTACGTGCCGTCGTTACTAAATTACAAGGCAGAGAAAAGTGAATCTCTTCACATCTTCTTTGGAACGGTTTACCATAGCAAAGCATTTCTTTCTTTGAAAAACGTTGGTACTCTTAAAGGCAGTAATCATATTATTGAATAAATATTTCATTGCCCTTGTAAGATCTATTCCGAACGAGCTTACCGAGTTACGTTCTTGTCGATCTTATAAGGTTTTGTTATGTTTGGGTAAAGTAGTTGTTGTTAGTCGAACAATCAACAACTTTGTGAACTGCGTATTGGAATCCCCCTTGTGGTGGTAGAAAGCATGGTTATTGAATAATATTAGACACACACGTATAACAATAATTCTTTTCTCTGCTCTGTTTAGCATTATACACTCCGCACAACAACTGATCATTTTGCCGTCTTATAAGTGGAGATATCATAAGATGGGCGCGTGTGGCACAGTAGTCTGGGGAACTCTACAATTCACATGGGATCGATTGCCGTTCCATAACCTACAGTATTATTCTCCCACTTATTTTCTGTAAAAGCTTCGCATTCCATCGAAACTCTACCCATTACAGGAGGAATATAAGCAGCACTGTTCCAATACAGACAGTTCATTCATTCGTGCCTCGATGTGTGTGTGTCTGTCTGTATGTATGTATGTATGTATGTATGTATGTATGTATGTATGCATGTATGTATGTATGTATGTATGCACGTATGTATGTATGTATGTATGTATGTATGCATGTATGTATGTATGTATATATGTATGTGTGTATGTATGTATGTATGTATGTATGTATGCATGTATGTATGTATGCATGTATGTATGTATGTATGTAATGTATGCAGGAAGAATTAGGGCTATTTAGAAACGCGAGGTGAGAGGAGAAATAAATCTAGAAACGAACAGTGCACCTTATAGATTGTTTTAGAATTGGCCTGCTACGTATGATGGGAGTCAGATGAGTGAAATGTCTAGACTGTACGGTGAAGCCGCAGATGATCTCGAAAAACCTCTGACGGATATCCATTGCTAGAAATGAAGAGCGACGTAAGGCACGCCATCACTCAGAGGTAACCATAATAGGCCCGCTGAAAGGTTACCCATAGTAGATTCGTAATAGCTCCATATAGGCTTAGGAACAAAAGAAGACATTGATCGTCCATATGCCAAGGTTCAATGAAAGTTGATACTGGCATTATTGTTCCGCTATGTGCCATCTAACACTAATACGATTTCTGAGTGGTGGATCATCACCATAAGATAATTTTGGTTGGCGATCGACCAAGGAGCGTCCTGTATCCTGGGGAATTGGGTGACGCTGCTACATTCAATTGCTATATACACTTGGCACGAAACATGTTGATTTTGATGACGGCATAACCAGCGAAGAGTTAGTCACAGTGAAGATTTGTAAAAACACCGTATAAGCTTACTAGTAAAGTAAGACTTTCTAACCGTAATCGTCAGCATTTCCATCCAGAATTTATCCACAGCCAATTATTCTTGCAATGATAGCGAAGGCGCCAAAACGTTAGCCTAATAAAGTTTGCCACACATTGTTTGAGCTTATCAATGAAAAAATACATCAGGTGATTTATGTCGAGGTTAAATGAACGTTGGTCCTACAAAAGCAGGGGTCGCAGTTCTTCATGAAGGTTCTAAACAAAAAGGCATGATGCCGTTCTCGAACAAATAGCGCACTCACTGGGCACGCAGGCGCCACAGGTACGAGTGGAAATTCCACCAACGCTCACTCCAGTCGCTCGACCGTTAACGAAATGACAAATGTTCCAGATACTTTACACTAAATGTTTTTAACTGTCAAGCGTTCACATCTCTTGTTATCACTACACTTTGTAGGCAATTATGCTTCATAGCTATATTAACGCCTAGAGACGACGCCTAAATCAGTTTGACTGACGCATCTACTTGACGTTTAATTTTTCGCCGCATTCGCTATGAGTTGATGTCAACTCATATCGGCCATTGAGCGCTTTCAAGGCAACAGCTCCTGCTCTTGTGGTTTAGTTTTTCCTATATAATTCTCATTAATGAAACCAGTTGTTGGCACACACATACAAACAGACCACAATGCGCTCACCGCCCGTGTGGAATCACCATGGTCGACCTGGAGGAATTCGCCAAAGACCCACGTCATGATGCAGGGCCGCATTTGCGAACACAACAATGCTTGAAGAACCCCTGGACGTCTCGTGCGATTAAAACGAGCTGTTCAGTTGGTTTGTCTCAGGTGTCCTCTTTTTTCTCATTCGCTCATTCGTCTTCAGTTAAACGTTTTACGATTGCTATTTGCATACTTAAACAGATATGATCTACTTTTTCTTAGCTTTTGGGCGATGTCAATAAAATTGTCCACTTGCAAATGGGAATGCCCAGCCTTTAATGTACCATCAGCGACTTCCTTCTCGCTTTTTCTCCACACTGTCGAGCTGGGACGACGGCACAAAGGAGCAGCGCTGACGTGTCGTTTGCAGTTCGCTACCACAACTATTCGTCAGGACGTACATATCTCGGTCTCATTCTTCACCAACAGTTGGAATAAATGGCAACTGTATAAACACCATCCGTGTTTGTCGATCGTGTGATGGGGCCGTCCACTAGTTGGCCTTAGTCCGGGACCTGTAGGAATTCTTAAAACATCAATTCTGAGCACTTTGTAAGGAAATCCGATCGTCGTCGGTGTTTCAAATCTCATTGATTAGGCGTACGTCGGTGCAGCGAATCTGTTTATTCATCTTCTCGAACCAATCGTCCACCCATCCCACTTCCGACGTCCTTACACGCATGTGACGCATTGCACGACGCGAATTGTATTATAGTAATCCACTTTGTCGTGATTTTATAGTCACTTATTGCCAGAGGAGTATGTCAAACCAGAGGAAATTGTGAAGGCGAAGTTATGAGCTAGATTTTCATCGTTTCCTTCACCTTTCTCTCATTATACCTGAAATTTTCCATGACGATTGCGCTCTTATGCCGATTCTGATCTTAGCAAACCAGTGGTTCTCTTCGCATTTCATTCTGCGATGACTGGCCAGAGCACTTTAGAGTCGTTATGTCCTTAATACTGCATGGGAAACATTAGAATACTGTTTCAGTTGATCTTATCAATGTTATGCTATGGTTCGGAAAAGAAGAGAGATTTTGTCGAAGGCGATCGTCGCCAGGACGTCTAAGAGCAACGTTGAAGGTGTCCGCTTTGAAGTTAGAAGATTCTTAACATCCAGAACTTCGTAGGAGGTGATGAAGTTAGCAGATTCCTAGCATCTAGAACTTAAGGAAGTGAAAGAGTGAAAGTATGAGTGGTGTCCATGACCCTAATACTGCCAATACTGAAATCTGACATCGCTTCCCCCCAATCGCTCCGTATTTCATTTTGTTTTTGATATTCATCATGTGGTTTCGTGAAATTCTTATTTCTACAAAAGCTGTGATGTTAAACAAGGAAGTGAGTAGGATCATTCTGTTGTATCTTCGTTAATAATCATTTTTTATCCGTCTGTTCGCTTTTGCTCTCCATTCGTTTATAGAAAAGTTGATTTTCCTTCATATTTGCTTCTTTCGGTATCTTGCAAAACCTGCATTTTTCATCGTCTAAGATTTAATCGTTCCACATCTACTTATTTCATCGGAATTTGGTCGATGAAGGCATATTATTTGATTTGTCTTTGAGTTTTTTCTCGTCATAAGGGTAATTGCTGCTCGTATTAGCACTATCGTCTGAGAACACTCTTGAAAGACTAAGCTGCGTTAGAATTTCACATGTTAACTGCAGTTTTTCCATGGTTTCTCACTTCCTTTTAGGGTATATTTTAAACCCACGACTATCGAGTTCAGGAATGTGCTGTCTTTGTGGTGTCCTGATCTTGGTTGGTTTCGTAGCGAGCCAGAATCCGGTGTTCAAGCGATTTGAGTATAAACATTCATTCCGAGCTCCTAATCTCGCCCAACGGGATCACTCAATTCCTTTTTGGACGGTGAGACCCTTCGATTTCCGTATGATTTGTTTTTCACTTTGTTCTGTGATAGGTATACAGCTGAAAAAACACCACGTTATTGAATGGAGAGTGAGCCCTGCTTCTGTCGTAGTGGGGAGTGTCCTTTATGATCTACTGATCATCAGGAGGTCTGAATGATTCTGATGAAATCTCCATTAGTTTCAGCTGTTTAGCAGAGTTATTCAGTGAGTTTAACTATTTCGAGGAGCACGAAAAGTGTTCTGCTCTTTGGTCAGGGTCTTTGTGAAGAAGGTTAACAACCATGTCGTTGTTTTTTTTGCCCTGAAATGAACATCGCATGGAAATAGTTGGTAATGGCGGTCTTGCCAAGCGATTATTATTCCAGTTCTTTGCCTACTTGGGTGTTATGTTCTCGTATTTTTCTGAGTACTGCAATGGCTCTGGTTTTCAAATTCCCGACCTAGGTAGAAGTTAGTTTTCCTTCTGCGCTTTCTCTCATAAGGACCTCAGTTTTAGGGGCACCTCAGTCCTGCTTATATTGAGTCCTGGTTTCCTATGCTTTAAGTACGGTACTTCTAATGAGTTTCGTAACCGTGTGGATTCGTTGCATCGAACCATCTTCAGAAAAATGCTTATTCCTATCTATTAATTCCGTTGAGGTTAACTCTAGTAAAACATTTTCAGACGAGAAACAAGTCTGTAGGTAATAGTTGAGCATATGCTTTAGATCTTCCTTACCGTTTTTCAACACGGTCCTGCTTCTTTTTCGTTGTACAGGTACTTTGCATTCCTAGAGGATGATTGTCGGTAGGTTGTCCACATGTTCTGATCTGATCTTGTCTGGTTGGTAGTGTACGGTTCTTTACCGATAGGGCATCACAGCGGCCGTCAGAATTGCGGGAACGTTTAAGCTCATATGCTCAGCGCAGCGGTTTCGCCAGATGCTAACTGCTGCAACAGATTTTGAAGAATAGGTGTTACTTTGAAACTCGTGGTGCTGACGAGACTTTGGTCAGTCGAATGATGAAAAAACGAGTCAACAGTTTGAAATCAACATTTACTGACATAGTGACATTTGAAGTGAAGTCAGAGTCTTCTTATTTCCTGAACGGAAATTCTTTACATGGCGAAGATCCATAGAGTAAATGCGAAGTGTCGTGTATATCCTCCCAACGGTTTACCGCCTCATCGTGCCTGGGAGGTATTCCTGGGTGTCGGACTGCGATGTACAGTGGGGATTCATTCCCTGGCAGGATCTCCCAAGCTGAAAAGAAGTCCGACGTTTCTATCATGAAGCCTAGCTAAGAGTAAACAAATACCAGGATCCACCACCGTCCTGGTATCAAAGTCGCATAGTGGCAAATCTCTCTCTGATCCACAAGGACTGCGACTGCTGGTGGTGGTGAAGACCTGGGGCAAACTTTTGCCAGGCTGGTTTCGAGATTCTAGGAAACCACAATGGCTTAGCCATCAAATCTACGAAAAATGGAGATTATGCTGGGACCAGCACAACCAGTGAGGACGGGCCATTCAAGTGTTAAGTGTGTGTATGCAATTGCTTTCTCAGAGGAAAAAATTGCTTCTATAGGCAGGTGTGTTCACAATTTGCCTGCCTAGAACGTACTAGTGCATCGTTGAATTAAACCCTTAACGTTGGCTTGGTGAATTTAAGCTGTTAAACGTAGATTGTATGGAGTGCTTTTAATGAGGCCTTGGCGCACAAGTAAAAGGTGCTCTTCAATAAACGGATGGTCACAGGTTCGAGCACTCACTCAAAACCAGCAAAGCCCTCTTTCCCTTCAATTCAATATTCAATTTTCCCTTCAATATCTTCAAATTGATACCAGATTTGACGGGTGATTGCTGTGGCAAAAAGATCGATAGATATAGCTGAGAGACGTGCGAAACAAAGGACCCGCATGGTGTGGTGGTGAACGCGTTACTCCCCGGAAAGGATAATAGCGCGTTCGTTCCCCACCATAGACACCTGCGGTCCAGAGTTTTGCAAATATCTCAGCAACGTTGTGGTTGTATTTCGCTTAGTAACCTGCCATGAAAATTATAGAAGGCAGAAAACAAAACGTTAAACATTGATACCAGATTTGTCTGGGAGGATAAAAACAACAATTGATACATCGGTAGGCTTCCGGAAGTCATTCTACAGGCCAAATATGCATTCTTTACTACTAGGATGCTTAGTGTAGTCGAATGCATGGTGTATCCGTGACAGCTAATATCAACCCCGGAAACTCTGTTCGTTGTTAACGCTGATTAGCTAGAATTTAAAAAGTTGTCTGCTGGTATATCAAGACGTCATTCTGGTTTGAAATGTCGCAAAGGAAAATTGTAGGTGTCTGGCGATGCGATAGCATCCCAGGATCAGTTACGTCTTGCTCCTTCAATGCGCAGTCGCAAAGGCATTGCCTGGAACAAAAGACCAATGGTGGAAAGCGAAAATTTTCAGGTGGGCCTAAAACGTTTAAATTCTTTTTGCAATCGACATTTCCATGTCTAACAGTGTACACGAATTTCCAGCGTTCATTCCGGTAGTTGATTTTAAAAATATACTGTTGTAGGTCGATGTTAGTCTTAAAGTTACTGGCCAAGGACGGATCGGAGCTGATGGAATGGCTATTTGGTAACCTGTTTCTCATTTTCAACTTATAAACCGCCTTCTTGTTTTCTATAGTTAGACTTTTAAGGTATACTGCACATATGGGATCACTTGGTCCAGTGTTTGGTGCCAATGATTTTTGGACTGGAATGGGTGAGAAAGATGTGGTTACTTCTCAGTTCAATCATGTTCTTAAGGCGTTTGAGTTGTTATGGCGGTCGTTATCAGAAGATTTCTTCAATTTGCGCCAAAGTATTCTATTTTGCCGCTTAACTTCTTTCGTTATGATTTTTGTAACAGTATCTCTTCTGTTCGTCTATTCGGTTCGTGAGCTTATTGATTTCGATACTTACTACTAATATTAAAAAGTTGTCATTTTCCTTCTTATATTAATGTTTATATTTCCATTACTATGACTACACTATGGCGAATCTTACGAAATGAGCTATTTAGGGATTTTCCTTGATTCATTCGATAACGATGGACAGAAGAACAATCCTATGATAGCTGTCATGCTCAACGATGGCACTCGCTCCTACAACCATGCTACCGATGGGAGCCAGCAGATTCTTAGTAGTACGCATAAAGAATCCTATTTTGAATAACTCTGCTGGTATTTCAAATTATATCAACTAATATTTAATCTGAAGGGCCGCTAAGGATGTACGCTTTTCACTTTTTTTTTATGTACGCTTGGGCGCATACTATGGTTTCTTCATTCATATTTTGTATTGCTGACGAGCGGTTTAAGTAGAGGTGTTCATTATTGGGTTATACTTGAATACGTGGATGGTCCGTCCTCACTGGTTGTCCGGATCCTAGCATAATTTCCATTTTGCGGATTTTTGCTGGTTTAGCCATTGTGGTTCCCTCGAATCTAATGCTCAGGCTACCCAAAGCCTGCTCCAGATCTTCACCACCACAGGCAGTCGCCGCCCTTGTGGATCAGATTACGAGATTTATCACCATGCGACTAGTTTGATACCAGGACACTGGTCAATTCTGGTATTGGCTTAATCTTAACTGGGCTGTGATGGAAACACTGGACTCCTCAGCTTGGGAGACCCTGCGGGGGGATGAATTCACCATACATCGCACCTCGACACCCAGGAACACTTAGCGACGATGAGGCGGTAAACCGTTGGAAGGATTGTTAGGTTATGGTGTACATAAAATCTTTACGACTTTTTAAAGTATTTTGTTTAGTGAAGCATTGTTAACCAAGGCAGATCGATTGAGTAACCTTTTGTCTTCTCTGTTTAACTATCGTGTAAGCGTGTAAACTTTGGTTTCTACGTAACCAATTCTTTCCGTCTTCGATGATACCCCTTGTCCATGGTCAACGTGATAGACTTAAGCTAAACTGTGGATTTCAGGTTGTCAGCGAGATTTTCGCAACAAACCCTACCCAGTTCGTCTCAGAATAGAGTATTTGAAGAATGTTCTAACTATACATGTTGACGATGGTATGCAGCCAACTCCCACATACGAAGCCTGCATAAGGTTCATTTGTGTTTTTGTCATTATTTTCAATATTTCCGTTCAACTGTTTGCGTTTCATCACCTGTTGTTCGCTTCACTTAATCATTAATAGTATGAATGACTTTTCTTTATGGGCACTAATAAGTTCTGAGCCATCGCGTTAACGTAAATCGAAGAACGAAATCGAACTCTTGACTAATCCGGGGGAAATACCGTAAAAGGTGAAGCTCCCAGTGATGATCAATCCCTGAAGGATGTGCTATGCATACGACTTCATTAAGCACAGTTGAAGGTGATTGAATGCATATCTGGTCTTTACAATGACTCGCGGTAGTCTACCAACATGTCGAGCCAGTGCTGCTATCCTCCCAGGCAAGTCTGATACCAATTTGCCAACCCCAAAAGAATGGAGGCATTGGTGGTCCATGGGCGCGGGACCGATCCTACGTGTGTGTTGCATGGCGACCCCGACCGTCACACGCGCGGCGAGCATGATGTCATAACAAACATTGGATGATCAAACATACGATAGCTTGTTGCTTCGAAATCTCTTTTTGTGCATAATTTTAGTCTATATTTATGGATCATTTTCGAGTTTTAGGATCGAAAATATCCACTTACCCAGGAACGGTCACTTTGGTGTGTCAGCAGCTACTGGGGGACTTGCTGGTAAATTTAAAACACTTATGATGTTATTTTTTTGCTTGAATTATATACTTTTTCTTTACAGATGACCACGATATATTAGAGTTCTCGGTGTTTTCTTTGGTGACGGAACTTCGAACTTCTGCTCCTACCGGTCTTCCACAAGACGAAAAAGTAAAATATGATCAGGAATTTGAGCGCCAAATGAAGGAGTATGAAGCAGAACGTGCTAAGTGGGTAATATTTCAGTTAGAACTAGATTTCTTTGCTAAGCTGGTTTTCCAAATCTTTTCGAAGCCCGGCTATTTTTCAGCAAGTGGTATCTCCTGAGGTTGTAATGTATTTGAAATTTTTAGGTTCAAAGAACGACATCCGGATTTGAAAGATGAGGACTACGACGAAGCAAAGTACTATGAGGACGCAACCGTTCGTGAGTTGCGGCAGCTTTCCCAGAGGCAGAGCAGTATACTTCAGGTAAATAACAGGCAATTCTCGCGTTATGATGATGTCTATTAACTGATCGAGCGAAAACTGATTTTTAGATCTTGCAAAAAGTGGAGCAGAAACTACAATATATTCAGCAAGGTGGGGCAGTCCAACCGGCGCAACCAGGTGGACAGATTGGTCTGTTTCTTATTTTTAAACTGTTATTTTAAGAAATGTTTTCTTATACAGCATGTTTAAAATCGGTTTTGGAAATTTAATATGCGTTCGAGTAGTAGCAAATGAATGATTTTTAATATTGTTATGTAGTAACATTTAGTGAAGCGTTCTCCTCTATCCTTTTTTCTTGTGAGGTAATTGTGGGAAGATTCGTAGCTAGTTAGTAAATGAGGGAAGAATGATAACCCGTGTTTTGACAACCTTTGTCTTTGCTTTTTCAAGTCTCAACTTTCGGAAGTCGCAGAGTCAGTACAATGAAAATAATTGGCGATATAATCTAAGTCCTAAAATTAGGAAAATATAGAAAAGCAGCTGAGAGACAGGAGAAACGAAGGACCCGCATGGTGTGGTGGTGAACGCGTTAGCACCCGGAAAGGGTAATAGCGTGTTCGATCCCTACCTCAGATAGCTGCGGTCCGGAGTTTTGCGAATATCTTAGCATCAATATAATCCCAAGAATTGTTTTCTTGTCTGAACGGTTTTTTTCGTAAAAAAGTAAGATAGAAACTAATTTGTGGGAATCTCAAGTACTACTGTTGCAGGTGGACTACTTCAACACGAAAAGAACGAAATCTTACAGTCATTGAGGGATCTTACTCAATCACTTCGTGATCAAAAACAATACGTGAACGAGATCTTTACTAAAACGTACAATTTGGAACAGCGATGGGGACAGGTGGGTCCAATGAAATGAAGTAGAATGTGTCCTGCTTTTTATAGCGGAAGGTTTTTGCTTGCAAGATGGGTTCATTCTTAGTTCATTTTCGACTTTCTTAGCATAATGTATACTTTCGGATGACCACTTCTGTTTAGGGTGCCCCCCATGTTGGTAGTGCCAATAATGTTGACAGCACCATGCATCAGAAGGTAGACAGTCTCCTGAATGAGGTTCGAACTCTGCGCGCAAATCAACTGCAACAGGTGAGTTGTCGTGTTCTAGTTCTTCACATATTGGTGAAAGAAAGTCCCAGTAAGTTCCAACAGTTTGCTTCTACTCGAATGTAGAAAGGTGAGTTTCTGATTATATAATACGGAAGAGAGTTCCATTTGAAGCGTGCATCATAGGGAACAGAGCATTAACATTAACTTTAAAGGTTACATAGTTGTATTGCTGCTAACGTGTATTACTTCTTGTAATTGGGTTAAAGTAGTCGCATGGTGGCAAATCTCCCTCTGATCCACAAGAGCGGCGACTGTCTGTGGTGATGATGATCTGGAGCAGACTTAGGCCTGGCTGACCTAGGGACTCCTGGGTACCACAGTGGCTAAACCACCAAAACTCCGAAAATTTGGAGATTATGCTGGGACTCGCACAACCACTGAGGACGGTCCATCCAATTATCCAAGGAAGTACTAGGTTAAAGTGCTTAAAAAAGTCATACAGCTTCATAGTTGCACTTCACATTACTTCAATAGCGGATGTAAACGGCGGTGCCAATAGGTCTAGTGCCCTATACTTTTTTTTGGATATTTCATCGGCTCTTCTTCGCCAATAGTGCGAATCCAAAACATTTTCCGCCCGTTTTTCCATTTTCATGGTCGTCGTCTGTGGTGGAATTCCGCAAGAATTCAGTAACGTATTACCAACATGCATTACCGTATTTGTTTGTCTACTAATTTCCTCTTCACAGTATAACAACTGTTTCTGGGTCGAGCTATTTTTGGCGTGGTAAGAATGAATACTGTGTGGTAATCGAAAACTCTGTGCTGTGTAGTTGAATGCTTATGATAAGCCATTGTTTCTAATCAAAGTCTTTGCTAAGAAGAGAATTGCCAGTGAATAGTGGATGAGGAGTACTGTTATCTACTAAAACTCTTTATGCGTAAGCAAAACTGTGACAAAATAATGAATTTGCATTAATGTCGAATCAATGTAGTCGTACCCTGTCCACGCTGAATGCTGAATGTTGGTCGAACGTGGTTTATTTGGAAATAAACCGCAGTTGCCAGTATCCTCCCACTTTTATTATGATGTACCGCTTTGTTCATGTGGACTAAAGATCTGACCTATTGTAGAAGACGTGATGTCAGTAGTGTTGTCGAGGTCCAACTGTACGAGATTGAACACTGCAGATGTTTGCCTTCTCTTCAAAAAAAAAAATGAAGAAAACATGCCTCGATCCCCGTTGATATGCCTTGCACTGTGCAGTGCAAATATGACCCACCTGCAGCCGGTGTCCTTTTCCTGAGGTATGAACGTGTCTTGAAATGATATTATATTCTTACGGATACATCCACACTGAGAAGCGAATGATCATAGATGGGGAACACTTGTTTGTGAGAATTTCAACAACACCTGACTTATAAGGTAATGACCAATCTGTGTAGAATTGTAGTTTAACAAGAAATAATTGGTTAAAGGAAGAGCAACTTTTTGCCGCTATTCACACTTCTCACATGTTTTAGAGTGGAAAAGCTGCTTCTACGGATTGTCCAGCTATCTCGTGCCTATCGTCAAACCTCTTCATAACCATAGTCGTTGTTCAAGGACTGGCAATTGTAGGAGTGATATTTCTCAGGTTTGTTTTTTCTTTTCTCATGGCTTATCCTTCTATGGAGCTCTGTTTGACTCCTGTAATAAGTACTGTGAAAATGAGGTTATTTTTTCAGAAGCAAACCCGATAAGGCAAAATTCTACTGAGCCACATACATGTTGTTATTTTTGCTACATGGAGATTATGCGACCACTATATCACACTTTCTAAGAACTGTGGCCGATTTAGGTGTTCATCACGTGCTTGTTACAATAACCTGTCTTCTCCTTGAGTGAGCGCTCTTACACATTGGCGACTCATAGGTTCACCTGCCGAATTGAATTACCGATAATCTTTCTTCTTTTTCTTTGAATTAGTAACTTTTTCTGTAACTTAAATGCCAAAACGTTGGCATTGTCGAGAACGGTTGTTTGATCATGGTCATATTGATTTCGTAATGTTCATATTGCATATAACGTCTGGGTTTTCACACTATTTGGGTGCATGACTGTTGTTATTGTTATTAAAGCTGAAATTACATAAAGTGTTTAAATTTTATGCAGTAGTTACTAATCGGGAAGAGAAGATGAGTGATCACAAGGCTAAAGGACTAGACTAGCGATCCTCTAGCTGTGTGGATAAGTACGCATTCTATCGTAGTTGTACGAATTTAAATTCGTAAATTGATATATCTTAGGATAAAGGAGCTAATTTCCTTCAAGGCAATGATCGAGGAAAAGATAAAGAATAAATAGCTCCTCAGAAGTAATACTAGACAGGCGTTAAAGGTCTCCAGAAAGTTTTCATTTGGGGACTAGTTAAGGCTGCTCAACTATATTGTCTTGTTAAGAACTGTCCGTACAACTATCTCAAACCTTAGTTCCAATTACACTACGTCCATATAAACACTTAAATTCTGCATTGCATCTTTTATTAACCCATAGTTATTATTCGTAAACCATCTATGTGTGGTATGATATGATTTCTCCAGTGGAGACGAACACTGTAGAACTTCTTTTATGTCGATACTCTTAACTCTGCAGTTCTGGTAAGTACACGACTAATCTAGTCATATCACATCTAATAAGTTTGGCAAAGGAATCCAGTTTGTCTATAACAGACTGTGAATTGAGTAGCTGTTGAAGACTAGGCGTTAATTCACCGATTTCGCCATAGGGTACGATCTGCAATACAATTGTTGATGACAAAAACTGAAGAACAGTCTCGATAACGGTATGTATATGAAAGAGGATCGATTGTGTATAGTATGGTAGATCCGATAAACGCCAATAAAGCGGTAGTGATATTCTGTAGTAAAAGAACATAGAACCATAGCAGCAAAATTTCGTGTATGTTAACAGCTCGTGTTTCATGACGTCATACATATGGGATGAGGGTAGACTTTGCCCAGGCTGGCTTCGGTGCTCCAGGGAAACAATGGCTATGCCAGCAAAACTCCGAAAAATGGAGATTGTGCTGGGGTCCACACAACCAGTGAGGACGGGCCATCCAAGCATCTATATACATGGAATAAGGATCTGGGCTTTGTTGGGTATAAGTGTAAAATAAACGACTAACTTGTGCATCCACTAACAAGAAGAGATTATCACGCGTCTGCATCTTTGCCGGCGGTAAGTTCGGTAAAAAAACTGTGAACTTATTGTCGTTATTCCACAATAGCTGATTACAAATATCCAACGGAACCTAGGACACCACTATTATGTTTAGACTGATTGAGGAAACCATTTTAAGTTGTCGTGTGCGCCTGACAAACTTGAAGATAACACTCACCCACTGCAGAGCCCTATCACATAGAAGCTCGCTCGGTCGAAACCTTCCTTTGTAGCGCATTTTCTCACAAGTAATAATGTAATATCCCATATAATAATATTTCAATTCCGGTCGAGTTTCCAATAACGTACGAGTAAGACAGATTTCCCTATTAAACTAACCAAATTAATGGGATAACTGACTACAGAGAAAAGCTTCTAACACTAGTTGCTGGATAATCTATGTAGCAAAAGCAGCACCAAGAATTTAACCCTCTTTTTTCCTCTAATTTGCCGTAATTGTCATACTTCCACAGAGAAACGGCTGAAATTCTTTCACTACCTACCTCAGAGCTGAATACGTCCCTAAATTCAGAAAGCTGTAATCCGGATCATAATACATATATTTCGATGAAACACATCTCGGTAAGATGTCAATCACACTCACAGCCAAAAGTTTACCGTCAAGGATATACCATTGATGATATGAACCATAAGCCAATTGCGGAGTCAACCTAAATGAGAATTTACGAAGCATATAGCAGAAAGCTACAGAAAGGAACCATCATATCCAACACAATTTGCAACATTACATGTTCTTTCTAAATAATACACGGCCAGCTTTTGAGTTTGTTAAAATTAGAAGATATCTGAATAGTATTTTACAGTGCTCTACCAACGGTTTACCGCCTCATCGCTGCTGGAAGGTGTTCCTGCATGTTGGGGTGCGATGTACAGCGGTGGGATTCATTCCTCCGGCAAGGTCTCCCAAGCTGAGAGAGAGTCCGGCATTTCCATAAGGAAGGCAAGCTAAGAGTAAACCGATACCAGGATCCACCACCGTCCTATTATCAAACTAGTCGCATGGTGGCCAATCCTCTGACCCACAATGGCGGCGACTGCCAGCACTAGTGGCGACCTGGGGCAAACTTTGGCCAGGGTGACCTCGGAACTCCAGGGAAACACAGTGGCTAAACCAGAAAAACTCCGAAAAATGGAGGAGCTGAAGCCCACACAACAGGTGAGGACTGGGCGTCCAAGTAAGTAAGTGATTTAAAGTTAACGTTAAGTAAGTTAATGTAACCAAAGTTTCACATTTACAGAGCACAAATACTTACGGCGGTAATTCTTCGTCATAGAGAGGACTATCGACGAGGAACCGATTGAAACCAGATTTTGAAGTAGAGTTGTCGTTGTGAATCTGGAAAAAATATTATGTTTTTGACGAAAGCATTTAAACAAGATAGAAAGATGTTGTTACAATTTTCTGATACTTCTTATAGAGTAAATACGATTCGTTGTAGCGTTCCATAAACTCTGCACTGTCGATGTGAATAAGCTTTACCTAAACATACACTGTTGAAAAGGTTTATAACCCAGTAAACTGTTTCTCGTTCTGTAAATAGCGCACGCCAAAGACGATACTTCCTCACTTGACACTTTTTCGAAGACTTTTACTTCTCGTTAAAATAAAAAAGAGCTCTCCGCATTGATCAATCTCAGGGATGGGCTATGCATTCGATTTCGTTAAGTACCTTTGGAGGTGACTGAATGTCGACAAGTCGACCAATAAACATTATCTAGTAGAAAATAATATCCTCTATAGTAACTTTATTCTATATATCTTCTGGTAGTGATTGACGTCTAGCCAGATGGGACACAAGGAATTATCTGCAACAACGACAACAACGATAGCGGGTCACCCAACTATAATTAGCATCTATCAGCACAATAAGAGCGGTCACCAACGATAAACAGCATCTGCCCACAATTTGAGGATGTCAAGAATAAAGGATACGTTGGTATAAACAATATCATATCCTTTCAATACCAGATGGAACACAATATTGTTTATGCATTTGCCACCATAATTGTAATATACGAGGACGACGCAAGGGTCAACAACAGTACCCGTCTGCCCGCCCCCTGAGGCAGTATAAAAGGACCGCGGTCCTGCTGGTGAGGCCCACATGTCGGATTTCCTTCCACTCGCCATCTCAGTTCCCGCCGCATACCGTCTTCGTCCACCTCTTGGCATAGAATTGTGCTACCGTACTTTATTGTAGGAAAACC